CGCCCCCCCTTTCTGCTGGAACAGAGGCAGGCTTGTTAGCTCGCTTTTTGAAGAAAGGAAAATATTTCGGTCCCGTAGTGGTACACGACGTGTTTTTAACAACTATCGTTGTAGGCAGCTACAACTTCTAGCAGCTCCTCTGAGGGTGGAGTCAGGACTATCTCCTCCATCAAAGCCACCTCCATCCATCAGATGGAAGGGCTGAAACTCCAGCTTGTGTTTACTCCTTCCTCCGCTGCAGCAGACACGTCCAAAAGGGAATTCAAACAATTTTAAGATAAAAAAAAAAAAAAAACAAGACAGAAGAATCAAACCCGGAATTTAATGGGAAAAGAGCCTTGCACAGCTCAGGGTCTGGGAATAAATGCAAAGAGCAAACACTGTAAATCTCCTGGTGCGAGCAGCACCGCTGCTGTCGCTCCCTGCCGAGTGCAGAGGTAAAGAAAATAACTTGAGGTTTGAGACTATTTGTGATTTGACAGCGTTTTCTGCCAGTAAAGTTCAAAGCAGCAGCGCACGAGAGGAGAAAAGAAAGATGCCTTTTTCCAAAACAAAAACGCTGCACAGCCCCACTGCTTGAAGCTGCACTTAAAAGCAGGATGGAAAACATGGGCAGATCACGAAACACACGAAATAAATAGCTGTGATTCAACGCTTCGGCCCTTCCGAAGCCACCAGAGCTCCTCTCAGCAGGTCAAACGGCCCCCCCCAACACATGGCTGCGAGGAAGGTCTTCTCAAAACACACTGAAGAGGCGCCCACGGGGAAGACCACACCCGTAAAAGATAAATCACTGCCCTCTCCAAACGTGACAGGGACTTGAAGGCACAGCTGGGCACCTGGGGATGAAGTGGGACAGTCAGAAGCGTTCCCACGTGTCCCCTCCTCCCGTCTTTCCGTGGCACAGGGCAGCCTCACGCTCCTCTGGCCATTCCCAAGGCCTTTCCATTCAGTTTTATCCCACTTTAGACTCTGTCAGGTCCATGCTCAGCTTTTTTCCTCCCCTCTGCCACAGCACAGCTCTGTATTGACACTGCCCAACACACAGGAGCAGGTAAGGTTATAACCATACACAGGTCACTGTGAGCAAGGTCCAGATAAAAAGCCCAGCACAAAGAACACACACATTTCCCAAAAAAAATCTATTAACAGTTCACCAGGGAGCCATCAGTTACAATAATCCCCCCATTAGTGCCCTTGGAAACAAGCTCCAGGGTAAGGAAGGGGTTAAAACCTTCCACAGCAGAAATGGAATTTTTATGGCCCTGAAAAAAAAAAAAAAAAAAAAAAAAAAAAAAAAAAAAAAGAAAAAGAAAAAGAAATTAATTGTCAATCTGCCCCAGCAAAGCTCACAACCATTTTGGTTAAGCCAATATACTTAAAATACCTCTGCCTTACAAGTTCCAGCTGGAATGTGTCACTGTGCCCCCCCCCCAGAGCCCCCACGCTGCAGCCACGGCACGAGCCCCAGAGCCCCTGGGATGAGGGGGGAGCTCAGTGTTGTCCCCAGCACAGGGGTCCCCACACAGATGCCCTGGGGACACAAACTGGTCACCTTCCATCTGTCCGTGCTCACTGGGAGTGGGAGACTCTGAAGGCACCTCCCAACCCTTGCAGGAGTTGGGGAGTCCTGTCTCGGCTCACGGGAGCACCCCAGTGTTGGTTTCAATATCTATATTTAAGGGAACGTCCCAATTCCACGAGCAAACGGAGGCAGGAGCTGGGCTGCCATCCTGAGGTGGCCCTGGAGATACCAGAGGGAGCAGAAGGTCCTCCACATGGAAGCCATGGCAAGTGTCGATGAGGACAAGGATAATTCAGTCCCCTTTTCAAATTTATTCCTGGTTTCTCCAGGACAATGGGCTCACGTGAGGAGAAGGCAGTTGGGTGCAAGCAGGAGGCTCTCCACTGAGATGTGTGGATTGAGC